TTGCTTTTAAAGGTGGGACATCTCTGCACATTTGAATTTCTCCTGTGTTCTGCAGTGAATAGGCCAGTAATTGGCCCACTGCGTCCCAAATGAGGAGTCCGACCCTCAGCACATTCGCACAGAGGATCCAAAATTAATCTGATGATTCTGATCATCTTCTGGTCGTCGGTTGCTTGGAGGTGGCATACTCGTTTGATTGCTGGCCATTTGGAAATGCCAACCGTCCGGCACACTGTACACCTCTACTTCGGAGTGGCACTGCTGTCTTTTTCAAATGCCTACCTCAGCCTGGAGTTCATCAGACTTCATCCTGCAATGTCAACGGTGGAAACTGTGTGCCCCGGGCTAGAATTTGGTCAAACAAGTGGACCACGTTCATTATTATAATGACCTTGAACGCAAAACATGAATTTAGTCAAACAAGTGATCCATCGATCCATGTAGCTAGGCTACCAGGGCGCCCGGTCGGACGTGCTCTGCCAGGCACCCATGCAGGTTGGCCATCCATCCAGCCGCCCATAGAGATAAGGACAGCCCGGCGAGACTGCCGAGGCATGAGAACGGAGAGAGACAGATTCACCAATGAACTTGTTCCGCTATGCATGCAACCAAAGAGAACCATACACCCAGAATCAGAGCAATAGACATCATGAGAAAAGTCGATGAAAATCAATCCTTCCATTATGATAGCAAAGTACATAAAGTATATTAACTGCGGCCACTCCCCGACGCGTTTCGTCTACCCCGCGTGGAGACTCTTCAGGGGGACGAACCCACTGATCAGTGATCACCAAGTCACCAACGACTACACATCTAGACCTGGGATCCATACATGCGCCTTGCCCCCCACTTCATAGAACTACCCAACGCCACTCTTCCGTCATGGAAAGAGCACAGCCGAACAGCCCCATCCTCCACCCATCCTGCATACTGCAGGTACATCGCAACCCGATGTGCATCCACCATCATACAAATCCCACTTACCCTCCAACCGAAAAATTCAAAAGCAGCTGCCGCCGCAGCCCCACCATGTTAACGATGAAGAAGAAAGCAAGCAAGGAGATGGTCACAATCTTCCTCGGATTATGTACATAGACAGCTGCGACCCACCGAGTAGCAGGTGGCGGTTTAGGGTTTAGTATTCGGATGAAGGTGCCAGCAAGGAGAGCTGTTGTGCTGGACACAGGCAGGAAGCGAGAGCGCCCATCATCTGCCATGGCTGAGCGGCGCCTGTGCCATAGCCAGCACAAATCTGGCCTCGTTTCCGTATTCCAGTGTTGTCTGGTGGGCGGGGGAGGGAAGAAGACTTAGTATAAAATTAGCTAAATGGGCTTAAAGCCTTTAAAGGGGTTTATAGAGGGATGCCTTATTAATATCTTATTAATATAATCTTATTATCTTTGATCAACACAACATCACTTTTCTCAGTTCTTATCATTATTTTCTTTTCTTTTTCTTTTTTTTCTTTTTTTTGCACTGAGGGTGTACGGAACCTTGCCTGCTGGGCATGTGTTCGGGCATAAAATTATTTCCCAAGCACACAGAAAAACAGCAGCTCAACCTTGAAGGATACAGTATCTTTTTCAATTTATGATGAGGTGAGAAATTGGCATTGTACTATGTATATACCTATATAAGGCCTGACAAGGAGGAGCACAGACCAGGATGACAGCACGGGCGATTGCAACACGATGGCTTTTCGCTGTCCTACAGAATTCGTGATTGTTCGCCAATTTCTTTGACTACGATATTCAAATTTTTTGGATTCATTTTTAAGATGGAGAACATTCTCAATTGACTATGAAAAACTTTACAGCTTTTTCGAAGACTCTTAGGAAGAAAAGCTATATGACCTGTAATTGCTACAGCGTAGCCTCTGACTCGATCAAATCATTACTGGATCAAATCATTATGGTTTCAGAGACGTGCAAACATTACGTGCAGGCGGTCTGACAGTGTGACGTTACCATCAATTCAATTGCCCATGACAGCCCTTCTACCACACAACAAGGTGCGGCCGACTGGATAGAAAAGCTCGATGTGAATCGGCTGTAGCTTTATCCTTTGAGTGATTGGACTGTAAATAATATCTGACGTGCAGCGAGAGAAGAACATCCCTGCAGCTTGGTAGAGCATGCGGGTGAGGTGTGGATACAGGTTGCTAGAGCGTCTCCGTGCCGGATAAGTAGATGGATAGACTAAGTGTAGAGTAGGTATAGCTAGCTAGTGCGAGGCAGACACAATATTGAGCGAAGAAAATAGGGTAGTAAATATACAGCTTGTCCCCCCTATATGAGGAGAAGACAGCTGTATTTCTTCATTGAACATATTTAAAAAATAAAAAATAAAAAACCATTCCTGCTAGAAAAAGAAAAAAAAAAAAAAAAAAAAAGGAAAAGAAATGACAAAAAAAAAAAGAAGCACGGTCCTGGCTACCTCAAGCCATTACCAAACTTGAGGCCATCCTTATTATGGTGGCCTGTTCCCTTGACTCTTTTCGATTCTTGGACAGTTGTGAGTTTTTCCTCCAGTCTGAGAGAGACTTACAAGACAGTTGTGAGCTCACAACTGTCCTGTAAAAGTCTCCAGAGAGGCTAGCTCACAACTGTCCCATAACTCTCCAGAGACTCAGAGAGGCTCACAACTTTCCTGTAAGTCTCCAGAGAGGCTCACAACTGTCCTGTAAGTCTCCAGAGACTCAGAGAGGCTAGCTCACAACTGTCCTGCAAGTCTCCAGAGACTCAGAGAGGCTAGCTCACAACTGTCCTGTAAGTCTCCAGAGACTCAGAGAGGCTCACAACTGTCCTGTAAGTCTCTCTGGAGGAAAAACTCACAACTGTCCTGTAAGTCTCCAGAGAGGCTCACAGTTGTCAGCTACTGTCCTGTAACCTGTAAGTCTCCAGTCGGTCCCATTCCTGCAGACGGTAATGGGACCCGGGGTCAGTCAGTGCCATACTACTGTATGGTCGCATGGTTGATGACCACCGCTGTAGACTCTCAGAAAAAGTGTTCCTGGACAATTTCTCAGTTCAAAAATGGAAATTCACCTCGAGCTGCGAGCAGTGGAAGTAGCAAAATGAAGGTAATACTATGGGCAGTCATACCAGGTTGCCCTGCAGCAAACACAGGGTACTACTCCAAACATCATTGTGAATTACTAAATTAAGACTGTGACACTGGCTCCTGAAGCCATGCTGACGGGGACAGTGGTGAGAGTTACACATACGACGAATTGCAGCGCTCAACAACGTTAAAAAATTAAAATTCTTCTTCCCTGACATTGTAACAGTTCTGAATGCCAAGTTGGTTGACAATTTCAAGTTCAGTTCTCTCTCATCAACTTTAAATTTGCTGTGTGTGTGCCTTCCACAGCACAAAAGAAAACTTGTAGCTATGACATCCAGAAGTGTCCATAACAGCCACCATCCACAAAAGAAAACTTGTAGCTATGACATCCAGAAGTGTCCATAACAGCCACCATCCCCGCTCACACACACACACACACACACACACACACACAGAGCACACACACACACACACACACACACCAAGAGAGACAGAGAGAGAGAGAGAGAGAGAGAGAGAGAGAGAGAGAGAGAGAGAGAGAGAGAGAGAGAGAGAGAGAGAGAGAGAGAGTTCAAGGACAAGGGCTGGGAAGAGAATTCTGATTAGTACGTTCTGAAAAGGTCCCCATCATGTCTGCATCTACAGCACTTCCCAGCAGTGAAGAGATGACATTGTGGAGTAAATAAGGAGTGTAGTCAACGTACTGAGTCCAACTCGACGATCTGTAAGGAAACGACGTTCAGCTGAGGCTATGACATTGAGAATTCAGGTACTCGACCAAGAGGGGTTCCATGATGCTCGCTGTATCTGAGGCTCTACAGTGCCATGACCTGATTCGGAAGAGGATCCAAAGTGACACCCACTTTCTGCACAGCTGACTCTTAAGTCCTGCATAGATATGATCACGTTTCTCACCAAAACGAAATAAAAGAAAAAAAACATTCAGATGATTAAGGGGAAAAAAAGAAGGATGAAGTTCCGATGAACTGTTTTTTCCCTCTTTTTAGGGTTTAGGGTAGACTGAGGAAGTAGTATAATGCTTGCCCAGGATGTGGTCTCTTGCTGTTTCGTTGTCAGCCTGGTAGGGCTTACAGGTGAGGGTAGATATGGGTACTAGCTAGAGCGAGGTAAAAAAGAGAGAAGAACATAGAGAAGATAGGAAAAATACAACTGTCCCCCGTACGAGGAGAAGACAGCTGTATTAAAAAAAAAAAAAAAAAAAAAAAAAAAAAAGGATGAACTGGTTTTCAATCAACTTGAGCAGTATCTGCAAAGGACCAAAGGTGGAAACCTGCCTGAAAACCTTCCACGTAGGCAGTCCCTGGACACTCTGCCCCCTTTCTGAATCCCTCCATTCAGGTCACGATCACTTCAGAATCCGTGGCTTGGCCTCAATATTTCGCTTGGCTTACTTGAGTCTCTCTCCGTTTGACTTCATGTGAACACACCAATGCACCCTGATCACAGGAATTATGTCCAGACGCTCTTTGAGAGAAGCGGACCATGATCGTCTTTCAATGTCTCATGACTGCCGAGTACTAGCCTCTTCTTTACAGAGAAGAAGATGAGACCCCTGGCTGCCTGGCATGTTTCTGTCTATTTCAGATACTTCAACTGCATCCCAACATCTCCGGCGCGCTCAAAAAAATACATCACAGGATGAACTTGTACACCACTGTGGTCATGATTCTTGCATGATAGCACGCCAGGAGCTGAGATCAGGCCCTCAGGCTGTCTGTACCTCGGCAGCATACACCTGCCATGAGACATCTGATAAACTTCTTCAAAAATTATGCATGGGAGGCTCTCCATGCTGTTAAGTTGTGTTAACCAATCAATCCATCACTGGAACTGAGAAATATGTGCGCACATCAAGAGAACATACATAGGATCAGAGAAGGGTCTTCATAAAAGAGGACTGGATGAAGATAAATTAGAAAATTAACCTCCTCACTTGGCAGGAGGGAAACCTTGCCTTGCCCCGTTGTCTGTGTGGTTGACGATTCGTCTGCTCTCCCCCAGGCTACCCATCTTCACCGGCTGCAGCAAGCTCTACTTTTCCCACAATTCTGTCCAGTGTGGCTACAATGCCAATGTCGGGTGTCATCATGTCTGGTCGGTTCCGCTTGTCCAGGCTTGCACAGCGCAACCCCAAGCCTGCCACCTCCCGAGCCAGATCGACATCCCAACAGCCTGCATTGGGATCGAGAGCATTTTCAAAAGCAGCACCATCTTCCATGGCGTCTTCCATGATTCCCAGTGCGTTCCTGAATTTTCCAGTAAGGACCTCCAAAAGGGTGACGCCGAGGGCATAGATGTCCGTCTTCTCGTTGCAAACCCCGGACCGCAAACACTCGAGCGCCGTGTATTGAGAGTTGCTTCCGAGGAAATCTCGGAAAGAATCGTCGGCAGTCTGCCCTCCGTACAACTGTTGGGACAGCAGGAGAGCCCGGTCAACCCCACAGAGCTTCGCCACACAATTGTGATCGAGAAGTACGTTTGCTGGTTTGATGGCACCGTGGATGATTGGATCACCGATGGCCAGCTGGTTCAAGTGGAGGAAGGATACTGCCCGAGCAATCTCTGCCATCACACGGAGGCGAACATACCATGGCAGAAATCCTCTCCTTTGATTTTCCCCATTTTCCCCACCTGAAATCCACTGCTTCAGACTTCCATTTGCCATGTCCTCATACACCAAACAGCTCTCTTCATAACAGACTCCCAGCAACCCCATCAAATTGGGATGCTGCAATATTCTCAACTTGTCCACCACTTTGTTCTTCAGTTCGGTGTGTTCAATCATCTGTGTGCTTGTTGCCCTTACCTTCTTAACCATAATAGGCGTACCATCCTGCAATTTTCAGAGTAAAAGGACTCGAGATGATCCCCATCACCACTCCTTAAATTCATGTTGAAGTTGTTTGTGGCTTCTTTGATCTCCACGGGAGAATAGACTCTTATTTCACGCAAAACAACTTCATTTTTCAATCTTTGCTGCATTTCATTAATTCTCTCGTTGAAATCTTTTATCAGGGTCTCTCTCTCTAACTCCAGCTCCTGAATCCTTTTCGTGGAGTTTTCGAGCTTTTGCAAAAGTGCTGCCTTCTGCACTATGAGGTTTTTCACCTCACCCTGCAGGCGCTGCACCTTCTCTACAAGTTCTGCCCTCTTGGACTCCAGCTCGTCATTCCTGGCTTCTGCCTTTCCAAACCTCTCTCCCATCAGTCTGTTCCCCGACTTGAGAGCTCTCACCTCGTCCTCTAGCTGCTTCAGCCTGTTTGCTTGCATTCTTCCTTTCTCTCGATGACCCTCCCTCGCTTCATCAAGTTCTTTGTTGTATTTCAAATTCATCTCTGACAACTCTTCATTCCTCGATTCTGCCTTTGCAAGCCTCTCTGCTGGACTAATTTGGCGAACATTTTTCTGCCGCATTGGTGCAGAAACATGGCCAGATTTATATGAAAAAGAGGGCTGCTCTCTCTCTCTCTCTCTCTCTCTCTCTCTCTCTCTCTCTCTCTCTCTC